AGTACCAGCACCATCACAGCACCAGTACAGCACCATCACAGCGTCAGTACAGCACCATCACAGCGCCAGTACAGCACCTATCACAGAGCCAGTACAGCACCATCACAGCGCCAGTACCAGCACCATCACAAACCATTTTAGCACCAATCACAAGAGCCAGTACAGCACCATGACAGAGCCAGTACAGCACCATCACAGAGCCAGTACAGCACCATCACAGAGCCAGTACTGTAACACAAAATAAGAGCCAATACAGCACCATCATACAGCACCATCTGAGCCAGTACACAACACCATCACAGAGCCAGTACAGCACATCACAAATTCAGTACAACACCATCCACAGAGCCAATACAACACCATCACCAGAGCCAGTACCAGCACCATCCCACAGAGCCAATGCAGCACCATCATACAGCACCATCACAGAACCAGTACAACACCATCACACCAAACCAGTACAGCACCATCTGGCACCATCACAGAAACCAGTACAGCACCATCACAAACCAGTACAGCACACATCACAAACCAGTACAACACCATCATACAACACCATCCCACACCAGAACCAGTACAGCACCATCACCAAACCAGTACAACACCATCTGAAGCCAGTACAGCACCATCACAGAACCAGTACAGCGCACCATCCACAGAAACCAATGCAGCACCATCACAGAGCCAGTACCAGCACCATCACAGAGCCAGTACAGCACCATCATGCAGCACCATCACAGAGCCAGTACAACCATCACCAGAGCCGGTACAGCACCATCACCAGAACAGTACAGCACACCATCACCAGGCCAGTACGGCACCATCACAGAACCAGTACCAGCACCATCACAAACCAGTACAGCACCATCCACCAGGGCAGTACAACACCATCACAGAAGCCGATACAGCACCATCACAGCAACAGTACAGCACCATCACAGAGCCAGTACAGCACCATCACAGAGTCAATACAACACCATTACAGAGCCAGTACAGCACCATCACAGGTCAGTACAGCACCATCAGAGCAGTACAGCACCATCTGGAGAACCAGTACAACTTTCATCACAGCGCCAGTGCAGCGCAGCAGCGCCAGTACAGCACCATCACAGCGCCAGTACAGCACCATCACAGAGCCAGTACAGCACCATCACAACGCCAGTACAGCACCATCACAGAGCCAGTACAGCACCATCCACCAGAAACCAATGCAACACCATCACAGAAACCAGTACAGCACCATCACAGAGCCAATGCAGCACCAGCATCACCAAACCGGTACAACACCATCACAGAGCAGTACCTTTCATCACAGCGCCAGTACAGCACCATCCTGAAACCAGTACAGCACCATCACTGCGCAATGCAGCACCATCACAGAGCCGTACAGCACCATCACAGCGTCGTGCAGCACCATCACAGAACCAGTACAGCACCATCACAGAGCAGTACAGCACCATCACAGCGCCATGCAGCACCATCACAGCACCAGTAAGAGCACCATCACAGCGCCGAGCACAGCACCATCACAGCGCCAATGCAGCACCATCACAGAGCCAGTACCAGCACCATCACAGCAACAGTACAGCACCATCACAGAGCCAGTACAGCACCATCACAGCGCCAGTACAGCACCATCACAAGCCAGTACCAACTTCCACCACAGCGCCAGTGCAACACCATCACAGCGCCAGTACAGCACCATCACAGCGCCAGTACAACACCATCACAGAGCCAGTGCAGCACCACAGCGCCAGTACAGCACCATCACCAGAGCCAGTACAGCACCATCACAAGAGCCAGTACAGCACCACCACAGCGCCAGTACAACACCATCACAGCGCCAAAGTACAACACCATCTTACAGCGCCAGTACAACACCATCACAGAGCAAGTGCAACACCATCACAGAAACCAGTACAGCACCATCACTGCACCAATGCACAGCACCATCAGCGCCAGTACAGCACCATCACAGCACCAGTACAGCACCATCACAGTGCCAGTGCAGCACCATCACAGAGCCAGTACAGCACCATTACAGCGCCAGTACAGCACCATCACAGAGCCAGTACAGCACCATCGGTGCCAGTACAGCACCATCACAGAAGCCAGTACAGCACCATCACAGAGCAAGTACCAACACCATCACAGCACCAGTACAGCACCATCACAGAGCCAGTACAACACCATCACAGAGCCAGTGCAACACCATCACAGTGCCAGTACAGCACCATCACAGCACCAGTACAGCACCATCACAGCGCCAGTACAGTACCATCACAGCGCCAGTACAGCACCATCACAGCGCCAGTACAGCACCATCACAGCGCCAGTACAGCACCATCACAGAGAGCCGGTACAGCACCATCACAGAGGCAGTACAGCACCATCACTGCACCAGTACAGCACCATCACAGCGCCAGTACAGCACCATCACAGCGCCAGTACAGCACCATCACAGCGCCAGTACAGCACCATCACTGCACCAGTACAGCAC